GCCCGATGGGCGTGCACCAGAAAATCGCTCGCGCTCGGGCACGTGGTAATTAATTCGATACGCCGCGTCGGATCGCGTTATCATTATTAAGCGCGTGATCGAGCGTTATCGGTACGTTCGATCCAGTCTTACTCCCGGAAGAAAAATCGGCCAACGGTGCTTCGATTCGTTTCAACGTTGGTTTAATGCCACGATGCCAACGCGGTGCTACATTGTGGAGGGCAGGGTGGAACGATTTATATATATATGGGTCGCGAAGATATATATCGGTGGAACGTTTATCACGGAAGTTCGTTTGTTAGAGGAAGAAGGAAGATCGATCTATATACGTTATGGTTTTACGATCGTAAATTATTTAAGACGGTCGAAACAGGTCCTCGATCGATCTTTGATGTTTCTTTTCGAGGATGAGAAAGTGGTACACGAATTTTGTAGTATTTTAATATCGATGGAAATTTTTTCGTGAAATTGAGTAAAGATAAATGTTATATTTATTACGTTCGTATAATTATTATTTAATTTAAGTGACGATTCAATTTATTCGTTTTACGTACTTAGAATATTTTTAAAAGAAAACATTTTATGATATTAAGTATAATATTATTTATTCGAATGAATATTTTCGAAAAAATATTTATTGAAATATTTGAATATATATACTTAGAATATTTATTAATATTCGATAATAAGGCTTTAGATGAAATATTTTATAAGGTTAGTTTATTCTATTGGATGTTTTTATAAAATAAAAATTCAGACAACGTAACATTCCCTTGCGTAACTCATGGTATGGAATGGTACCTCGCCTACAGGTGGAGGAGGATCGAACGAGTGACCTAACGATACTTGCGTTCGATACGCTGTAACGTTATAGATATCCGAGCATCTGAGGAGCCATCGCCGATTACGCCCAACGTCGATCGGGCCTGTGAAACGAAACAATTGTTCTTTCCAGCCGCGGGAGAAATGAATGACTTGAATATTCATCCTTCTTTTTTCTGTGTTCACCAGGTGAACGAGTCGGTCGACTCTCAGGGAAGGAGGGGAATAAGAAGAATGTCAGTTCGGTAAAGGGAGAAGAGACACGCGATCTTGTGAAATGATTCAATTCGCCAAGACTTTCGAAAATCATCGCAGGAAAGATTGTCGGGATCGAGATAGTTCGGGTTGATGTTATCAACCATGGAAGAGAAACACCGATGATTAATGAAGATACATCTACTATTTTTTTATAGTTCGAGTGGATAATATCATATAATTTATTTAGATTTTAAATAGAGGAATTGTATATAGTATTCTTTTATAAGTATATTTATAGAGATTGTAATATGGTGTACATGAAACATTGTACTTTATTGTCCAATAAACTATATATTTAACAATCATTGAAGTACCCTTTTTTCCATATCCCATTAAAAAATATGAACTCTGCTACATACGGTAAACATTATTAAAAAATATACATTTTTTTTATTTTTTTTTTATATAAAAATAACGTAAAAGTTAATACAATTATATAATTTATTACTTATAAATATTCCAAATCAAGAAAAAAAATGATAGCAGTAAAAATATACGAATGGAAATGGTAAGTATAAGATAAATCTATAAAATCCAATTTTAAAATATATTCTTCTAATAAAAACTCAAAAATCTAGATGAAAAACGAACTTAATTCGGCCACCAGATATAATATATTATAAAATCAACTTCAAAAATAATCGAAATATAAAGCTTGACATCCTAAAAAATAAAAAAAATAATAAAAAACGCACTAAAAATAGCAGCATTTACGATAGAAGATAAGTGTGAAAAAAGTAGATATCAAAATCTACATAAATTCTGAAAAAAAAGAATTAAAAGCTGTGAAAAAATGGCAACACTAAGAAAAATGATAAAAAGGTAAGTACGAGAAAGGTAAATGTATGTTAAAAGTGAAAAAAATCCTTTTAAATTATATTCTCGTAATAGAAAGTCGAATTATCGGCTAAAAGTTTCGTTCGTTCCAATATATCGAAATATTTCCAAGAATTTGACCTCAGTTCCTAGAATTTATAAAATTCTTAGAAATCGACGTCATTTCCAAGAATTTTAGGGATTCCGAGAATTTGACGTCATTTCTTGGAAAAATTTTTCGATCGACCTCCTATCGTATCATGTTCTCCTAATACAAAGTCGAATTTTTGGCCAAAAATATTGTTCGTTCGAATATTTGGAAATTTCCAAGAATTTGACCTCAGTTCCTAGAATTTATAAAATTCTTAGAAATCGACGTCATTTC